GGGGGACCTCATTAATGTTTATAAATATGTATTTAATGTTTATAAAATATGTAAAGGGTCATGAGGATGGAGCCAGGCTCTTCTCACTGGCATCCAATGATAGGAGAAGGGGAAATGGATATAAGCTGGAACATAGGAGGTTCCGCTTAAACATGAGGAAGAACTTCTTCTCAGTAAGGGTAACAGAACACTGGAACAGGCTTCCCAGAGAGGTTGTGGAGTCTCCTTCTCTGGAGATGTTCCAAACCCACCTGGACGCGTTCTTGTGTGATCTGATCTAGGTGGTCCTGCTCAGGCAGGGGGATTGGACTAGATGACCCTTTGAGGTCCCTGCCAATCCCTAACATTCTGTGATTCCAAGAAAAGACCAAAGCTTTCTGTTTGAATACACTTTTCATCTGTTAGTGATAGTGAAGTATTGATCTTTAGAGGGAGAAGTATTAATCTGTTTTACCATTGTTAGAGATGTGCCTTGGGAAAATCTTCAAGGTGATAAATGGTAATGCACATCCAAGTATATCTGTCTTGTAAAATACATTACAGATGATACATATTGTGTTTTATAATGTGTCTTCTAATGATCCAGAATACGTAGCTGGTATATATGAATTCTTACTACTGTTTCTCGTATGGGCCTTGCGTTTGGAGGTCCCGGGAATGAGCGTGTCATCGAAGATAGTTATTTGCATGTCCTCTGGGCCCATTGTGAGCATACGTTTTTAAGATTGTTTTTGCCTTTCTTCTTTTCTGGAGACATTGTCCACAGCAGTAATGTATGTCCTGAAAAGATTGGGGGAGGCCTTATTGTTTATTTTTAATAGGTAGAGTGCTTGTGTTTTTTCATCTCTCTCTCTCTTTTTTTTCTTTTTTTTGGTCTTTTTCAAAAATTCTGGTTTTAAAATGTACTTCTCTGTTGTGGAGATTTCAGAAGTCTGTAGAGAAATTGTTTCTTACTCATGAAAAATAATGCCCTGTAGTCTTTCTGCAAATGAAAAGTAAATGGAGTTTATCCTCACGTGAACAGCTACGTACAGAGGTATTTGCAATGCAACCTCAGTTACAAAGACACTTGAATTTTATATGGTAAGAATGAGTGTCAGGAATGTAGGAAAAATCTCAAGACAGAGATCAGGCTGCAGGTAGTATTTTGAATGTTAGTACTTTAAATGAGATGCTGCTCTTAATGTATTTCCCTACCCAGCATATGTTGGTATAAAACACACTTTATACTTTTAACTTCAGTAGCAGATGTAAAGATACCTCCTCCCTCAATATTGGGATAAAATATAAAAGGTAGTTAAGGCTGCATGTTACACTTGAAAATGCAAGCAAACGAAGCTGTCAAGAGGTGTTCACATTGGACGGGGTACTGGAGACTTGATCTGTCTTGCTTAACCCACTCTTTGTAACTTGCCTCTGACAGAAATACGGTGTTGCAGAAGGAAGGCCTTTGACTGACCTCAAGGCTATGGCAAAGGCTGCTGGAGAGCAATGTCCTTCATTCACACCTTCTGGAGGAGAAACACTGGATGAAGTATGGTCACTTGCTTATTTGTGCCCTGCTTTCTAGGCCATTTTGTCAGTGCAAATGCAGCTATCGCATACTTAGAAGTGTCTTATTTGAGAGCTTAGCCCAAATGAAGGTAGTTATTGTCTAAGCTAAAAACGCTACTTGACCTGATTACAGTGGCTGCCAAATAGGGAGTCTCTTTGGAACTAAAATATGGATATTGAGATTGACTCCTCAGGAAGCTCTTGTTTGCAGAAGGGTGATGGCAATTACTCTCAACCTTGGCTTTGGAGGGCAAAGGAGTAACCATAGATTTCTGAGACTCCTTTGTGATAAAAGTTTGTCTTTTAACTGAAATAGTTATATCTCAGATTTCTGAATACTGAAGTCTCTTGCATTCTTCACAATGTACTCTTCTGACCTTTCTCTGTAGGTAAGAGAACGTGCGAGGGATTTTTTTGAATTTCTGTGTCGGCTAGCTGTTGAGTTGGAGCACAAAGAGCAAGAAGTGGATGGTGCGGCAAGCAGAAGCTCAAGAACATCTGAAGAACAGTTAGTTTTCCCTTGGACAAACCACTCCAGTGAAGCAGAACTTAGCTCTGATAATGGTGGAGCTTCTAAAACGTTAGATGCCAATATATTAGTGGTGAGTCATGGAGCCTACATGAGGAACTGGATTGGTTATTTTGTTTCAGATCTCAACTGTACTTTACCAACAAATCTAACAAAGTCTCAGTTGTCTTCTGTTAGTCCCAATACAGGAGTTAGTCACTTCATTGTAAAACTTGAAAATGGCGATTTGTTAAAACCTGAAATCACATGTGTGTGTCTTAATCAAGACTCTCACTTAGTGGATGTGGGAGCTGAGTGTGTAGCTCCGAAAGTGTTTTAAGAGTCTTTGTAGGGGGAGGTGGTTTTAGATCACTGTTATACTAAGCTTGGGAAAGGTATCTGTAGTAATTACTGAGACTGACGGGCGTTATTGACACTAAACTGCACACCAACTGAAGACACGCAGCTGCTTACCATCTTGCATGGTCCTAGTGCCTGATACAAGTTGGCACTAGAGAAATAACACAAATGTTCTAAAGAACAGAAATTTAGTTCTTCCAGTCACTTGCATATCTGCTCCTACAGTGCATATTTTTAAAAACTTCTTTTCATTAGCCCATAATTATTTTGGTTATCTCCAAGTAAAAGAGTTGGAGAGGGGAGAGGAACGGTACCTCGAAGAATAGCTATACTGTATTCTTGTTTTATTACAAAATGCTATATTGTAATATTAAATATACATGTTGTCTTAAAATAACTTTTCTGAATGCAATAGTATAACCTAAAAAGGAGCATTGCCTAGTGGAAGAGGTTTGGTTCAGAGTCAGGGGACATGTTCCTGGCTCCGACTCTAAATAGCGGTGCAACTCGGGGCAAGTCTCTTTGCCGTTTGTAAAACAGGGATGATGATATACCTACCTCGCAGGAGTGTTTTGTAAGAAATTGTTAGTGTTGTCCAGACCTCTGTTGAAGAGCACTGTACACAAACATAAAGTATTTATTTTCACTGTAAGCAGAACGAGGAACCTCATGTGCACCCGGTTGGAATAACAGCCTCTCTTCTGAAAAGGAACCTTAGCAATAGGGTGAGTTGTACCCAGCCGGAATCCTTTGTCAGTCGCAGTCGTACGCTTGATGAGTGAATAGTTTTGCCTAGCATTAGGCAAGTTTGGTTGCTTGATGATTACTTATAGTTGCTGTTAGTACTGCGTATTTTCCCCACGGGGGTGTTTGTAGTGTTGCTGTGTAAGCTTATCTGATTTATGTTATTTATACTATCCACAGACTGTTTTCTTCATTTGCATATTTTAAGCCTGTTTTAAAAAATAAAAAATAAAAAATGAAAGGCTTCTGAATAGAACTCCATTTTGCCTGTATTTCTTTTGAGGTAAAAATCTTTGCTAATATTACTCTGTGAAGCTTTACTCCGATCATCTAACTTCCTTTTTTTTTTTTTCTGAAAAACCCGAGGCTGGTCTTTTACTGTGAAAAAGAGCTCTTTTAGGGCTGATGGATCAGTGCTATCCTGACTCTTACCAGGAAGAACCGCTGATATGAAAATATTATGGATGTACTTAAACTGTTTGCAACTGTACAAGATTAACTGTGTGACTGAAGTTTTAATTTTTTGTCATTTTTAAAAACAAGCCATCCTGTGTACTTTAAACCACTTGGCTTCTTTGCCTTGAAGCAGATGCTTGAATTTTGAGGAGGAAAAAAGAGATTGCTATCATTTCCTTGAACAGGTGGGTACCTGTACTTACCTGTGGCCCTACTGAAAAAACAGCAACAGAACTACTTAATCTGGCACTAGTGGCGGTAATTTGCTGCTTCTATTCGTGCAACTGCCATTCAGTGGGAAGGTTTTCTCTTCATTCCTACCCAAACACAGAGTGGGGGCCTGCTTCCATGTCTGTGCTGTTCGTCCAAGACTAATACTGCTCAAATGTAGAGGAGGAAGCAGGAAGCGTTCAGCCCTGTGGTGACCAGAGGTGGGTTTCTAAAGTAGTGTTCTCCAGAACCTGGAAATGAACCTGAGGCTTTTTACTTGCAGCGGGGCTTGTTTATCTACTAAGTAACCACGAAACCATCTGCTGCTGCATCAGAAAACTCGTCCGTGGAGAGGAGAGCAGCTTGCCTGGTGTGCAAAGATGGATCCTAGTAACTGGTGTCAGTAAAGATTGGTCTTTCAACCTCTAACGTGTTGTATAATGTGAGGGACTGGTTGGCCTTAAGTTGGGTTGGTGAATTTAGATTGGAGTTTTACACTGAACTTCTGCATGTAGAGGCTGAACCTGTTCCTTACTGATGAGCTGGCTTCCTTTCATTTCTTCACAGATACAGAGGAAAGCTGCTTCCTTGTGGCTCCTCTTTCTCCGTGTGAGGCCGTTCATCAACGTACAGGTGTATCTCGGCAAAGTTTTATGACTAGGGGTTTTCCAGCAAACATGAAATCTTCATATTATAGAATCCTGGGAAACTTAAGATTGCTTGATGGCATAAAACCAAGCTTCGGTCGAAATGGCTGTATTTCAAGTTTAATTTTATATAAGCAGCCTTTGTTCAAAACAAAGATATTCTTAAGCAAAGTGTTTCAGTGTTACTCAGAAGTAAAAATTTCTGAATTCAAATAGTCACAATAAAATCTTTAGAAATTTAGTAAATTTTTTTTTTTTTTTTTGAGAAAGCCAGCCTTCTGGAAAAATCCTTGGCTAGCCAATGATTATTGACATTATACATGATGGCCACCCAAACAGTAAGTTTGTATTTGTGAAATTAAAAGAGGTCTGTTTCAAATCGAAAGTACAGAGGTGACAGTGGTAGCTTGAGGAACTGCTCAAGACTTGTTGAAAAGTGTCCGTCGATGATCTTCACAAATAAAAGAATTAATTCTTAATACATGAGAGGAACTAAGCTGTGCACGTAGGAAGGAAAAATGAGGATGTGGGGTTTTGCACAGACTCCTCAAGCTTCTTGCAAAATGCATCTTCCTAGAGAAGATGTCCTGAATACTGAACTGATTCCAGCCAAAGAAGGTGGGAAAGTTTTAATTACGACTACTAAGAGGGTGGGAGTTCGTACTTAATTTGCCTGTTCCTGGTAGTGCCTGTTTATTTCGGGAAGGCTAGTTACGTAGCAGGAGACTGTCCCATTGGTGCTTAAAATAGCTTAAACTTTTCTGTCATTGCCATGCCCTGAATTTGGTCCGTCGTTCCCTTAATACTTCTTGGAGCCAGAATAACTGAGTTGAAAACGCGCATCCTTCATCAGCTATAAAATGAGCGGAGACCTAATCCCTTTTCCTCCCTAAGTCAGTAACTTTTGTCAAATGCTTCAAAACACACAAGTGTTTTTTGTGCTTCCCTTGTTTTAGAAGACTCTTTTCTTGCCTACCCTCAACGTTTTCTTCTTACTGATGAGGTAAATATCTTGCAGGAACGTCTACTTACTTGTTAAATGCTTTGCCACTTCTTGGTTAATACTCTTCCAGGAGGGATTTTTGACTGTTCCTCTGTAATGTGCTTTACCTCCTTTGATGTATTGGTAGATGTTTAAAATTTAAACCCATCCTAGGAAACCAGGCTTTACGATTGTTTTCTTTAAGTTAACGAATTCTTTCATCTTCTGTTAACTCTTACATGGGGCGAGCAGACGGTGCAATAGCCTCTAACTGTGGAAAATACCAGCGGGTGAAACCGTTCAAGTTTTCTAAACAGCCCCTGTGTTAATGAAGTAACGTTTTTCAGTGAAAAACTTGAGAGCCAGAATCTCCTAATTAAGATCTTGTAAAACACACTAAATTGATGCAAACATACCTGCCAGGGGCTGGGGGAGTATAAGCAGTTAAGTGTGTTCTGCGGGTGCCCCGTTGCGTTCTTTCCCTGTGTGTCTGCACCTGATGGTGTTGGAGACAGGATCGTACAGCCTGCCCTGATGCAGTTACAGTTTTTATTTCACCTTTGTTGTATTGGATGTAAGCTTCTCTATGCATTAAAAAGTACATCAGTAATTTTGGAAGCTTCTGAAGTTAATTTTAAGCCCTTTTTCTTTAAGTCTGTGTATAGATAGTACTGGTCTTTTTAAGTTTTTGGATGGACGCTGAGATTAAATCTTCTTGCTCTTTTAATGAAGTGACTCCTGTACATTTGTACAGTAGTTCTGTACAGTTTATTGGGATCATGGGAAAGGAGAGCCACAGTTATAGGTGGTTCTGTTAGGAATAGTAGCAGAACATAAATATTTGAGGGATTACTCAGTAGTGGGCAATGAATGTTTTGTCCTTGTGAAATGCCAGTCTCTAATTAGCAGCAGGAGACAAGGCCTTAACTACAGGGTGGATTTTCGGCAGTAGCTGCCAAGATGTAAGAGAGTCTGTGAAAGCAGATCAAACTGTTAAATGCATTACCAGGGTGGTAAGAATTTCAAGTTATAAAAAAAAGTTACTTTTTGAATACCTTTGTAGGAAAATGGTGCTGAAATAAATGTTAGAAACACGTCAGCTTGCCCGCATAATCGCCTGCGGTCAGATCTGAGAGAATCAATGGGTACTTTAAAATTATCTTTTAAACTGGTGAAGGTTAAAACAAAGGCTGTCTTGGCAGGCTTTTTCAGCTGAACAATAGGAGAAGAAAGGTGACTGTGGAGATCACCAGGATGAAGAGGAAACTCAGTCCGCTCCTTTCTAAGCTGATGTTTTCTTTCACTGAAGAGTCTGGTGGTATTCTGCTCCTGAAAAAGTGATGCTTCAAAGGTAGGGGAGTTGTGACCTCCTACAATAAAGTCGTTTATGTTTGAGCAGTGCTTTACCAGGCCAGGCTTGATGTGGAAAAGGTGACAGGAGAGAAAAAGAGAAGTTCAAAGTTCTGTGCATGGTAGCACACTGATTCTTCAGTTTTGACTCCACCAACATCATCTCCTAGCAGGTCTGCTAAATGTCCAGCAGTCATCAGGCGTGCGCTTTGGCAGAGTGTGCTCGTAGTATCACAGTTTCCTTCCTCTAAAGTATCAGCCCTTTTTCAAGATATTTGCTCTATTCCCACAGTTCGCTGTTGAGTTTATGTTTTCCAGACATATCGCTGTCTTTGCAATAGGAGGTTTTTGGGTTTTTCCTTTATTTATTTATTTATTTATTTATTTAAGTACAGGATTTAGATCAGATGCATTCTCTATCCAAGCTTTTGGTGTTTCATGAGACTGTCTCAGATTCACAGCCCACATTCCTGGACCTAAAATATGTCAGATTTTCCCCAGATGTGTCCCTCTTGTGAGGGCTTTGGCCGTGAGCCTGAGGTTTTTGGATATATAGTGATCCCAGGCAAATGGCAGCTGCGCTAGCACAAT